TATTAATTTTGCTTCTCAAATATTAAAAAAGCTTAGTTATTGAAATTTATTTTCATAATTTATGTTGTCAATTGACCACACCGTAAATGACCAGTACCTATGCAATGCACACAAATAAATCAATTAAGTTGACAAATTATTGAATTTTCATAAAAATCAATTTTAAATTTGAATTAAAATTAGCATTAATTGTAAAAATGAATTAGATCTATGACTAATTAAAAATTTTATTATTTTCACAAGTGAAACTTTAATCAAAACTCAATTCTTAAAGTTTATTTAATTATTTATGCTGATCAAATGACCACAATGTGTGTGACCAGTATCTATGCAACGCTTATAAATTAATCAATTAAGTTCAAAATATCTAAATTTTTTTTAATGAATTGATATTTTTTAATAGTTTCAACGTTTAATTAAAATGAAAATTGAGAAAACTAGAAATTATTTTCCCGTTTAATATACAAAAACTCTTGCAAATTATAAAATTTCACCAAAATTGATTTTTAGATTTGAAATAATGCTTAAGCCTAAGCCTAAGTATACCCTAAGCCTAAGCCTAAGCATTATTTTATTATTTAAGATGTCAAATGACAACAATGTATGTGACCAGTTCCCGCACTATGCGTATGTAATAATCAATTTTTTTTTTATTAAATGATATTTTTTAATACTTTTAACATCCTTTGAAATTAAATTTTGATAATAGTAGAACTTCTTACCTAGTTTAGTATGCAAAACACCCGTACAAATTATGGGATTTTTGTAAATGTATTATTTAAATTTGAAATATAAATTAATTTTAATTGTAAGAATGAATTAAAATCGTGAAAAATTAAAAATTTAATTAATTTTGCTTCTAAAATATCATTCAGAACTCAATTTCTAAACTTGATTTTATTATTTTTGCTGTTCAAATGATCACAATGTATGCGATCAGTACCTATGCAATGCACACAAATTAATCAATTAAGTTCAAAATATCCATTTTTTTTTAATCAATTGATAATTTTCGACATTTTAACATTTAATTAAAATCAGAATTGATAAAACTAGAAGTTATTTCCACGTTTAATATACAAAAACTCTTGCAAATTATAAAATTTTCACCAAAATCAATTTTTAGATTTGAAATAATGCTTAAGCCTAAGCCTAAGTACACCCTAAGCCTAAGCCTAAGCATTTTTTTATTATTTAAAATGTCAAATGACCGCGATGTATGTGACCAGTACTATTCAACGCTTATAAATTAATTAAGTTCAAAATATCTATTTTTTTAATGTTTTGATATTTCTTAATTTTTTAACATTTAATTAAGATTAAATTTGATAATAGTAGGGTTTATTTTCCAGTTTATTATGCAAAAATTCTTACAAATTATAGGATTTTCATAAAAATCAATTTTAAATTTAAATTAAAAATTAGCATTAATTGTAAAAATGAATTAGATCTATGACTAATTAAAAATTTTATTATTTTCGCGAGTGAAATTTTAATCAAAACTCAATTCTTGAAGTTTATTTAATTATTTATGCTGATCAAATGACCACGATGTACGTGACCAGTACCTATGCAATGCACACAAATTAATCAATTAAGTTCAAAATACCACTTTTTTTTTTTTAAGAATTGATATTTATAAATATTTTAACGTATAATTAAAATAAATTCTGACAATACATGTATTCATTTCGCAAAATTGTACAAATTTCCTATATTTTGATACTTAAAATAGAAATAAAAATTAATTCTAACTGTAAGAATGAATTTAAGCCGTCATTAATTAAAAATTTAATTAATTTTGCTAATAAAAAATTGATTAAAGCTTAATTATTAAAGTTTATTTTATTATTTATGTTGCCAATTGACCACACCATAAATGACCAGTACCTATGCAACGCTTATAAATTAATCAATCAAGTTCAAATTATCTAATTTTTTTAATGATTTGATTTTTTTTTAATATTTTAACATTTAAATAAAATCAGTTTTTGATATTGCTAGAATTTATTTTATAGTTTAATATACAAAACTCTGACAAATTATTGAATTTTCATAAAATTTGATATTTAAATTTGAAATAAAAATTAATTTCAATTGCAAGAATTATTTAGAACAGTGGCAAATTAAAAGTTTAATTAATTTTGCTCCCAAAATATCATTCACAACTCAATTTCTAAACTTGATTTTATTATTTTTGCTGCTCAAATGACCACAATGTATGTAACCAGTATCCATGAAATGAATAATAACTAATCAATTATGCTCAAAATAACCATTTTTTTTAATGAATTGATATTTTTCAATATTGTAACATTTAATTAAATTTAATTTTGACAATTCCGGCATTTATTTTATAGTTTAATATACATAACCTTAACAAATTATTGAATTTTCATAAAATTTGGTATTTAGATTTGAAATAAAAATTAATTTTAGCAATAAGAATGAATTAGAACAGTGGCAAGTTAAAAATTTAAATAATTTTGCAAATAAAACATTGTTTAAAACCTAATTTTGAATGATTATTTAATTATTTATGCCGATCAAATGACCAGTCGTAAATAACCAGTACCTATGCAAAGCACACAAATAAATCAATTAAGTTGACAAATTATTGAATTTTCATAAAATTTGATATTTAGATTTGAAATAAAAATTAATTTCAATTGTAAGAATGAATGAAGACCGTGGCAAATTAAAAATTTAATTAATTTTGCTTCTAAAATATCATTCAAAATTTAATTTCTAATTTCGTTAAAAAAAAATAGATATTTTGAACTTAATTGATTAATTTATAAGCTTTGCATAGATACTGGTCACATAGATCGTGGTCATTTGATCAGCATAAATAAATAAATAAACTTTAATAATTAAGTTTTGATTATAATTTCAGCTGTGAAAATAATAAAGTTTTAAATTAATCATACACCTAACTCATTTTTACAATTAATGCTGATTTTAAAACCAAATTTAAAATTGATTTTTATGAAAATCCTATAATTTGTAAGAATTTTTGCGTAATAAACTCGAAAATAAACCCTACTATTATCAAATTTAATCTTAATTAAATGTTAAAAAATTAAGATATATCAAAACATTAAAAAAATAGATATTTTGAACTTAATTAATTTATAAGCGTTGAATAGTACTGGTCACATACATCGCGGTCATTTGACATTTTAAATAATAAAAAAATGCTTAGGCTTAGGCTTAGGGTGTACTTAGGCTTAGGCTTAAGCATTATTTCAAATCTAAAAATTGATTTTGGTGAAAATTTTATAATTTGCAAGAGTTTTTGTATATTAAACGGGGAAATAATTTCTAGTCCTATTAATTTTGATTTTAATTAAAATGTTAAAACTATTAAAAAATTATCAATTCATTAAAAAAAATTAGTTATTTTGAAGTGAATTGATTAAATTTATGCATTGCATGGGTAACGGTCAGTTACGGTGTGGTCAATTGACAACATAAATAAGAAAATATACTTCAATAACTAAGCTTTTTTTAATATTTGAGAAACAAAATTAATAAGATTTTTAATTTGTCGTAGATTTAATTCATTTCTGCAGCTAAAATTAATTTTTGTTTGAAATCTTAAGATAGAATTTTATGAAAGTTTAATGATTTGCAATGAATCAAAACCTTTTTTGTATATTAGACTTTTTTTCTATAATTCCTAGTAATATCAAATTTTACATTAATTAAATGTAAAACTGCTAAAATATATATTTCATTAAATTAGTTATTTTGAAGTCAATTGATTAAATTTGTGTTCATTGCACAGGTACTGGTCGCATACATAGTGGTCATTTGACCAGCAGAAATATTAAAATAAACTTTAATAATTAAGTTTTAATCAGTATTTAATTAGCAAAACTATTTTAATTTTCGATTTTTGACGGTTTTAATTCATTCTCACAATTATAATTCATTTTTATTTCAAATTTAAAATTTAAATTTTATGAAAATTCATTAATTTGCTAGAATTTTGCATATTAATCTACAAAATTAATTGTAGTAAATATCAAAAGCTAGTTTTAAATAAATGTTAAAATTTTGAAAAATATCAATTAATTAAAAAAAAAATGGATATTTTGAACTTAATTGATTAATTTGTGTGCATTGCATAGGTAGTGGTTGCATACATTGTGGTCATTTGGCCAGTGTAATTATTAAAATAAGTTTTAATAATTTTAAATATCAATGGACTAAATTTATCTGCCTTCTCTAAAGGAGAGAGAAGATTCACTTTATTGAAAATGAAGTGCAGATTCTCAACACTGTTGATCCTTGCATTAACTTTGACCTTTACAATGAGTTTCTCTTTTATGTATGGTTGAATAAACTCAGTAAATTTCCTGCATGTTCCAATCATTCTTTCCGTTGAGTTTCACACATGATTGTACCTTGTAAATGAGCTGCTTATAGACATCTTTGATAAATTTGATGACCACCGAACCAAAAGTAAAACTAAACCATAACAGAAATCAGATATAGGTGCTGATAAGAAGTATGCATGGTGTGACGTAAAACCTATTTGCTGCAAGCATAATGAGCCAAGTTCAATCTGCTTTGAGTAGTAATCTTCTGTGTATTAGTAACCTTGTCTTTCTTCTGTTTTTCAATTATTCTATCTATATTGTCGCTGAAAAATTTGCCTAACTTAGGAAATATTTCTTTTGCTGCGATTTTATAGAAACTACTGCACGAATGAGTTTGACTAAGTCAGCAAAAAAAAAAAAAAAAAAAAAAAAAGTTCTTTTAGTTTTTCTAAGCTACTGGGTTCAGATTGAGATAGCCTCCGTAAATTTTGGCACTCAATTTTAACTTTGGACAAAGGATTTTACGGTCAATGGAAATAGCACTGTTGCTTTTATGCATCCTCTCTATTAACTTTAGCTGTCAACTATCACCTTTCTTTTTGTTACTAGGAGTACGTGTTTATGCTAATGATTCTTTTATTATATTGTGGGAGATAGTCTCATGTCTAATTTTTCTTCTAGAAGACCCATTTGTTCAACTTTATCTTCTACGTTTAGTTGACTCTGATCTAGTACTTATAGCGTATTCTCAGTATTCTTCAATCTATGTAATACTTTTTATAGAAACTTGTAAAATTTCGTATTTGTTCATTTTTTTTTTAGAAAATATCTGTTTAATATCGTAACAGATTAATAATAACGTTAAAAGTATATTTACTTAAAGCACAATAAAAAATTGTGCCTTTACCGGATTTTTCTACTGAAAATCTAGCATTTTATTAGAAAATTAAATTGTAAGACTGTAGAAAAGGTATTCAGTGTTTATTTTTCTTGACTGTAATGCAATATAGAGAGATTATTAAGTACTAAAATTAAAGTTACGCACTATTTTAAAATTTATGGAGGTTTCGTAATGCACTGCTTAGACCTGGTTGTTTTGATCCACACATTACTATTTGTTTGCCCGATATAAAGAAGATATTTAATACATATATAAAGAAGATATCAATAGCACCAGTGAAGACAGTTGCGAGAGGGACACCTGGTTTTGGGGGGGGGGGGGGGGGGAGAAGGGGAGGGGGTAGTGACCTAGTAAATTTAGTGAATGAAAGAGCAGAATTAAGAAGACTGTTACTATGGGTAGCTTTGAATATGCACGTAATGATGGGCTGGAAAGACGGTCTCTAGTGACGACTCTGAGAGGATCCGAATACCAAAAGCTATTGTGCAACAGTCGAACTCAGAGTCTTCAAATGGCAAACTTTCTGCGTTTGCACACACCCAATTAAAATTAAGCTGATTTGAGTTTATGGCTTTATTACGTCCTCTACTTAGCATGTTTTGATTTATATCACATACTGTAACCTGAACACTCGGCTCTCTTCTTACTATTCTTATTGCTATGTCTCCCAATTTTGACGACTTGGTGTCTTTGCCAGGAGTTGGGAGAAAGAGTGCTAATGTATTTTTAAATTCAGGACTTGGCATTCCAACATTGGCAGTTGATACTCATGTTTTTAGAGTGAGCAATAAAATTGGCCTTGTGAAAGAAAAAGACGTGTTCAAAACAGAGAAATCTCTTTTAAATGTAGTTCCAAAAAAAATACCTACTCTATGCTCATCACTGGCTAGTTTTACATGGTAGATATGTTTGCAAAGCACAAAAACCCTCGTGTAAAACATGCATCCTGTTGATAATTCAAGCCAGCCAATAGCATACTCCCCATTTTGTTTAACTATGGACGCAAGATAATTGCTGTTTTTATCCTCTAATAGCGAATCTTCAACAATTGTTCCTGGAGTTACAATTTGCACTACATCACGTTTTACTATAGATTTATAGCCCCTGTTTTTTGCTTCATCAGCAGTTTCTAACTGATCGCAGATTGCTACTTTGAATCCTAAATCTATTAACTTATGAAGGTAAGAATTCACTACTATGCGCTGGAACTCCACACATTGGTACCTCTTGCCCATACAAATTACCTCTCTTAGTTAGTACTATATTCAGCAACTTCGCAGCTTTAATAGCATCATCAAAAAAACAACTCATAAAAATCTCCCAGCCTATAAAATAACAGATGATCCTGATATTGAGCTTTTAGGTTCAAATATTGCTCCATCAAAGGAGTATTTTTTTCTCTTACGAAGTTCATAACATTTTTAAATACGTTGCGTTAGCAATAGCTTCAACTTTATTATATGGATAACATAGAATTTACATAGGAATACTTTATACTATGCAAAGGCAATACTACTATTTTTTTAGAAAATTGTGCATATGCAATAGATCTGTGGTAGCCTCTTCTATAAGCCATAACTTATAACTAAAATTATATAGAATTTTGGCTTTTTGAAAAGCCCAAACTGCCATTTGCGGAAGGTATACATGTAATCTTTTTGCCAAATTGAATCACAGCGTAGAAATAGGCAACCAGAGAAAAAAAACAGAAACCCTTGCCTATTTCTATCTTTGGGCAAAATTCCCCTATTTTATTGTGAAATGGTGTACCTTTGAATTGTATAGCAAACTGAAAATACTTTTTTAATATTTTTATCAACAAATTAAGTAACATATTATTCGCTAGTAGACAAAAATTGTTCAACAGTTAAGTTTTTTTTGGACGCTCCCCTATTAACTCTGGCGATTTTAAATCACCGAAGTTACATGCCTATATCGTAGTCATAGCCAATCTTCATCTCACTTCCCCTCTCCAGCGACAACAGAGACCTGATTAGCAAAGGTTGATTTACTAAATGAGCCGATAAAACCAGAAACAGTAGAAGGAATTCAATATTTGCAATGAAAGACACCCAGTTGTTGAAGTTAACGATAAGTTCATTGCAAATAGCATCAATTTGTCTGGTATACATCTAATTACTGGCCCTAATATGGCTGAAAAAAGCACTTTCTTGAGGCAAAACGCTCTCATTGCAATTTTAGCTCATATGGATTCATTTGTGCCAGCAG